GTTAACAGGTTTTTAAAACACGATAAGTTGCAACACACTATACATCTCTCTGGCTCCACCTAGCTAGTACATAGCTGCTTGCAGCTACGTTATAAGGCTCTGGAATGTCTGCTGACCAATCAGTTACTAGACCTTGCTGTAATTCTATGCCCCTGCAAAGGAAAATAAATGCCTTTATTTCTTCAAGCTTTACGTAGCAAGCTGTCAGTCAGTAGTTCAATATGGATCAAAGACCAAAGCGGTTGACACCCAAGCGATTTCTTGGAGAACAAGAAATATCTGACTTCTTCTCCGATGAGCTATCTGACGTCCCTTGTGAGTCTGCTAGTGATAGCGACTCACAATCTGATAGTGAGTGTGGCAGGGGCGAACAAAAAATTGTGACCACAGACAGTGAAAGTGAAAGTGACCGTAGCTCCAACGAATGTGCGGGTAGCAACATTGCGGGGACAGCCACATGGGGAAAAGTAGACAAAACGCCTGCTTTGGGACAGTTTACTGGAAATCCAGGGGTGAAGCAAATTCCATCGGACCCAACGCAAGTGTCTGAAGTAGCGGAACTGTTTTTTGGAGATAGTTTCTTTGACATGCTATGTCAGGAAACTAACAGATACTATCTCCAACACCGTGAACATTATGACAGAAGTTATAAGGCGTTGAAGTGGGTGGATGTCACTTCAGCAGAAATGAGAAAATTTTTTGCAATTATCTTTCTAATGGGCCATACAAGGAGGGATAATCTGAAAGAGTATTGGTCAACAGATCCATTTTTAGAAATTCCAATTTTCAGCAAACTAATGAGCCGTAAGAGATTTGAGCAAATTTGGTGGTGTTTGCATTTCAATGATAATGAACTGCAACCACAATCAACAAGCAGGCTTTTCAAAATTCAGCCCTTATTGAACTTTTTCGTTCAGAAATTTCAGACAGTTTATAAGCCAAACCAACAACTGTCTTTGGACGAATCTGTGATTCCTTGGAGGGGAAGGCTTCGTATGCGAACATATAATCCTGGGAAACTTACAAAGTATGGCCTACTTGTTTGTGTAGTTACTGAAAGCACTTCAGGCTATATTGGAAATTTAGAAATTTATTCTGGTGAAGGAAAGAAATTACAAGAAACTATTCTTTCCGTTTTGGAACCCTATCTTGATCAAAATTACCATGTCTATCAAGACAATTATTATAACAGTGTGGCAACTGCAGAACACCTATTTTCGAGAAAAGTACGTGTTTGTGGAACAATTAGGGTGAACAGAGGCCTTCCTCCAGATCTGAAAGAGGAATGTAAATCCCTGAAACGTGGTGAAACCACATTCAGGAGGAAGGGGGATATTCTTCTTCAGTCCTGGAGGGATACTCGTGTTGTGAATATGATTTTAACAATTCACAATTCGAGCATGGTTGATGTTCAGAGGAGATGTGGACAGGTAAAGAAGCCTGTTTGTATTTCCGAGTATAATATGTTCATGAAGGGAGTTGATAGAGCTGATCAGTACTTGGCGTATTATTCTCTTCCTTGGAAAACAGTAAAGTGGACAAAGAAAGTTGCCTTGTGGCTTATAAATTGTGCCATTTTCAATTCATTTTTGGTTTTCAAAAATCTAAACCCTAATTCAAAATTGAAATACAAGGCATTTCTGCTGAATATGGCAAAAGCCTGGGCTACAGACCACACGGTGGAGGCAGAACCAGCGGCAGACACGGTCTTAATACGACCGGGGCCGTCTACTCCCACCCCACGCAGGCCTCATTTTGACCCCCCCTGGGCGACTCTCGGGTGATATGTGGAAACATACCCTCGCAAAAATTGTGAAGAGTGAACATTTCAAGGGGAAGCAGCCTTCTAGGCAATGCCGTGTTTGTGCAATTCACAAGAAAAGGAGTAGGACTGCCTACATTTGCAAGTTTTGTGTAATGCCACTTCACAGAAGGGAATGTTTCGAGAAATATCACACCCTCAAGCACTTCTAGAAGCATTGGTAAGTGTTCTCAAAAAATTTTAGTTCATAAAATTAATTAGGAGATTTTATATTAATTTTTAAAGTGAACAGTGCACAAGTTAGGGTAGTAGGTATAAAAATGCCAGTCCGCAGGGTGATTTAAATATTTAAATTGCCGGTCCGCAAAGTGTTAACAGGCTAAATGTCCGCCATGTTTATGAGCGAAAAACCTTTCAAAAGGTGCACAGTCCGCAAAGCGTTAAGGAAAGAAAGTAGATGTATGGGATCATGCTGTGTATATGGCCCATGCTAGTGTGTGTGCTGTGTATATGTTTGCAGGAAGGTACTCCTATTTGCACAATGTACGTGTATGTTCTGTTGTAATTAGAAGACATTATAAGAATAATTTTTGTTGGGTAGAATGAAGGTAGTGGTAAAGTTGTCTGTGCTTGACCAATTAGGCATCAACCATGAAGATGTATGGGGGAGAGGAGTCAGTGGTCAGCTTCATATTGCAGCCTGTTCACCTGGGAAAGAGCTCATGGTGTCCACTGGGTAGGCTGGACAGGCACCAGAGCCATCCTGAAAGCTGTACAGAAGAGAAAAACCTCTTACCACTTTTGGGAATTGACCCCTGCCCACCCAGACCATATCTGACTGAGCTATCCTAGCCAGTTTCATTTAGTCTCTAACATCCATCATTGTACTTCTACATGACTGCAGAGAGTGTTTCATTACGGTCAATAACTGTCCCACGATTGTGACTTATATATTGATTTGTTTCAGTTTGAACTTGGTTTCCAGTCATCAGAGTGGGATGAACTTGGTTCCTTCTCAGCCAAGTGGGTTGAGTGTTGTTTCTGGCCAGCAGAGTAGTTTGAACTTAGCTTCTGGTCAGCAAGGCAGTGATAGACGTATAGCTGCACCAACACAGCAAAATATATCCATGGGCCATGGAGTTCAGTCATTGACTCCTACAGGAGGGTCATATGATTGTAATGTGTGTGGACTACAGTTTCAATTTCTACCTGATTTAAGGACACACTCTGTTATTCATGTGCGGCAGCGTCCTCATGAATGCAGTACCTGTGGGAAAAGGTTCATATTTCCAAGTGATCTGAAGAGACACATTCTTATTCATACAGGAGAACGTCCTTTTGAATGTAATGTATGTGGTAATAAGTTTAGAAAACTAAATGTTTTGAAGCGACATGCACTGATACATACTGGGGAACGTCCACATGAGTGCACAGTATGCCCGAGGAAGTTCAGAGACATAACTGACCTGAAGAAACACATGCTTTTCCACACAGGTGAACGTCCGCATGAGTGTAATCTTTGTGATAAGAAGTTTACGTTGATATCACACCTCAAAAAGCATTCACTTATTCATACAGGTGAACGTCCTCACGAGTGTAGTGAATGTGGTAAGACATTTATACGTGTAAGTGACCTCAAAACACATACCTTGATACATACAGGGGAACGTCCACATGAGTGCAGTGTGTGTGGAAAGAAATTCAAATTATCGTCTCATCTTAGGAAACACACACGTATTCACACAGGAGAACGTCCACAGGAATGTAATGTATGCAGTAAGAAATTTACTTTTCCTAGTGATCTGAAAACACATTCTCTTATTCATACAGCAGAGCGACCACATGAATGTAATATCTGTGGTAAAAGATTTACTTTTCCTGGTGACCTAAAGACACACACACTAATTCACACAGGAGAACGGCCACACGAATGCTCAGTATGTGGGAAGAAGTTCATGCGAGTAACTCTTCTCAAGAAACACTCTCTGATCCACACAGGACAGCGACTTCATGAGTGCAATGCTTGTGACAGAACGTTTACACAGTTAACTCTTCTGCGGAAACATTCTTTGATTCACAGAGGAGCGCGGCCACATGAATGCATCATATGTGGGAAGAAGTTTACATTTTCTAAAGAATTAAGAACACATTCATTCATTCATGAAAATCAGCATCAGCAGCAGCAACTCCAACAACTTCATAACCAGCAACATCAACTGCAGCAGCAACCACTTTTGCAGCAACAGCCACTTCAGCAGCAGCACCCCCCTCACCAGCAGCAACAACAAAATCAGCTGCAGCTGAATCAACAACTACATCAGCATGTTCAACAGCAACACCAGCAGCTGAATCAGCAGCAACACCAGGAGCCCAATCAGCAACAACACCAGCAGCTGAATCAGAAGCAACACCAGGAGCCAGATCAGCAACACCAGCAGCTGAATCAGCAGCAACACCAGGAGCCCAATCAGCAACAACACCAGCAGCTGAATCAGAAGCAACACCAGGAGCCAGATCAGCAACACCAGCAGCAGCTGAATCAGAAGCAACACCAGGAGCCAGATCAGCAACACCAGCAGCTGAATCAGCAGCAACACCAGGAGCCGAATCAGCAACATCAGCTGCTGAATAAGCAACAATACCAGCAGCCAACTCAAGCACAACACCAGCAGCCGAATCAGCAACATTCCCAGCAGCCAAATCAACAGCAACCACGTACACTGCAGTCTCCTCGACAGTCATATGATTGTAATGTATGTGGAAAACAGTATCCATCTTCTACTGAATTAAAATCACATTCACTAATTCATGTAGGGCAGCGACCACACGAATGTGATGTGTGCGGTAAACGATTTGCATTTCCTAGTGATTTAAAAGCACATTCTCTGTCCCACACAGGGGAACGACCACATGGATGTATTGTATGTGGTAAAAAGTTCAGCAAGCTTAATGTACTGAAAAGACATTCGCTGATTCACATGGGGGAGCGACCTCATCAGTGTGATGAATGTGGTAAAAGATTTAGAGAATCGAGTGATCTCAAGAAACATGCACTTGTCCATTCTGGACAACAGCCTCATGAATGTGGTGTGTGTAAGAAAAAGTTTGTTCTAATGTCTCAGCTGAAGAAGCATGCCGAAATTCATACTGGAATTCGACCCCATGAATGTAATGTGTGCAATAAAAAGTTCTTACGATTATCAGACCTCAATACGCATACCCTCATACACACTGGTGAACGTCGACATGAATGTGCTGTATGTGGAAAGAAGTTTACACTTGTTTCTCATCTTAAAAAGCATTCTCGAATCCACACCGGAGATAGGCCTCACGAATGCACAGTATGTCATCGAAAATTCACGTTTCCTAGTGACCTGAAAACTCACTCTCTTATCCACACAGCAGAACGGCCTCATGAATGTACTATATGTGGTAAGAAGTTTATATTTCGTAGTGGTCTTAAAGTACACACACAGGTGCATGCTGGTGAATGACTATCTCGACATTTCACCTCAACAAACTTTTCAGAATTGCTACAGGAAAACAACAGTTGGATGCTCTGTATGTGGTGAAAGATGTATGTAAACTAGGTGAGATGGATGTAAATAAACACTTGGCACTTGAACTACAGATTAATTTGCCTTGGTAAGAAAATGGTTAAGTAGCTTTAAAAAAAATACATTGTATTGCTTAATCTGCAACTGAAGATATCAATAATTTTTTTTTATGGTTAGCGAGAAGAAATGAGTGGCAGATGCTTGTATGGCTGTTTCCTAGTTAACCAGCATCAATCATGCACATTGTTTCACTTAATTGTCTGTGCCAGAGAATGTCATTTAAAGAGGCTGCATTCTGTTGGAGGTGCACAAGGTTGGTTGAGGCACTATGCTACAAGTTACAAGGTCTTTAGTTTGATTCGTTATGAAGTCATTGCATTCTTTCAGTTTACCTAACCCTTCCAGCTGCACTCTGGCCCTGGGGTTGACTCAGCCTCTAACAGCAATATGTACCAAGAATTTTCGTGATCATCATTCCATTACATGATGCTGCATGATTTTTGCAGTTGAAGTACCACTGTTAAAAGCTACCTGTTTTGTAAATGTGTGTCCATCCAGAACATTAACGCATTAGGATTTAGTGGCTGGTTTTCCTGCATCATATTCATGATGTTCATTCTCAGCCTGGAACCCAGTTATCCTTGATTTGAGGTTTTTCATGTTTCTTTTTCAGTTGTCGCAAGCAAATGCTGCCATAAAGGCCATGACTTTCCTTCCACATCATTCCCATTTCATTATACACCCATTACGCAGAAAAAAGTGTCATTAAATGAGGTAAGATGTTTCATGGAACTGTTTTGGGCCTTTATTATGTGCTACGTGTAAGTAATTACCTCATGAAGAAGACACTTCAATTACCGCAAAAAATGTTTGTACTGAAATAATTGGTCTGAGAACATAAGTGTGAAGACTGCAATTAAATTGTGGTTATGAGAAACAACGGTAGAGTGCAGTTGTGCCTGTGCTCCATTAAGCACGTACCTTGAGGACGTGTGGGGAGTTCAAGGCACAGCCTCAACCCCATTAATTCCGCGGTAAAAATCGCGTTCCGTGCTTGTTATAAAACCGAGTAGAGCCCAGAGTTCGAGTGGGGCTCTTGGACGCAGGTCGGATTGCTGAAGAGGAAAATTCTTAGCTCTGATGGAATCGAACTCCGGTTGTTCGCCATATAGACAGTAGAGGTATCCCGGCTCAAAAATAAAAAAGAAGCCATTTACGTTATTTCTAATAATTTATCAGGTAAATACACGTTTACTGCCTTATGCGTTTCATAATGTAAAAGGATTCGCGGATGGTTGTGGTTTTTTAGCCTTGTAGGACTTTAGAAGCCTGTGAGGAGATAGATCTCTTTGTGCGTTTGTTGTTATTTGCAATCTTGGAAAGACTAAATGAGGGAGGAGTTACGTTATTTAAAAAGCAGTTGTAGGGCCATGTCTATGAAGTTTCACAGTGGTCAGATTTCAGATTTGCTGGTACTGCGTTAGTTAGGTTATGTTTAGTATATTCGTAAACGATTATATATTGTTACATTCAATACACATGTGTTCACTCTGAAATATCTGTAGTGTACCGTTTGACATGCTTCATGCTGTAAGGAATGGTGAATACGTTCACGCATGTATGTGAGTGATGTGTTAATATTTTTTCTGTCCTTGCACAATTCTAATGCGAGTAGCAGGGTTTTAACGTCACGCTAAATGTGTTGTTATTGACGGTATATGATAAAAGACAATAACATTTTGGATTACAACGGCATACAACCAAACCTTAAAATAGCAGGGCATAGTTGGCATATTAAGTTGGTGAAACCGAGTTTTAGGTTATGTATTCCGGTATCCAGAAAGATTCACGAACGTTTCAGATTGTATTATAGATCAAGTTTTATGGTGTAGTGGCAGGTTGGAGTTGAAGTAAAGGCTATATTAAGGAAGTATTAAATGTTTCATTTCCTTTTAAAATATTGTATTAAAGTTCAAAAGAACCACCACATAAAATTCACGCAGAGTTACCAGATTTGCATTTTATGTGTATGCATTCTTCTGTTTTCCCAACTGCTGTCTGCTACGTACGAAATATTTCATAGTTGCAGAAGCAATTTTATTACTTCCATGTTAAACAGTTGTGAAATACTTTTGGAAAGTCTGTTTAATAGACAATGTGTAAAGTTAATAAGCACATGAAAGAAAGTTTTAGAACTACAAGTATTTTGGCTTAGTAAAAGTCGTCACACTTGTGACTATGGAGAAGGGGCCAGTAATATTATGATTACAGTTTTCTGGAATGTTTGGCACCGTGTAGTTTGGTAAATAGGCGTTTGATTTCCAAGGTAATAGTAAGGGTCAGTCATTTTTGAGGAAATATGTTCAGTGTCTTTATTCACAGTACTTGTGTTTTAAACCATCAATATACAATATGTACCTATATATATATACATTTCAGTTTTATATTTAAAATAATTTTTTTATTTTTCGTATTTATTGATCAAACCATCCATTTATTGGTTTCTTATTTTACAGGTTTGCAAGTGAAGTGGAGTGTCATTCAGATTCTGACATAACTTCATTGGTGTCCTTATGTAAACCAGAGGTCATTACAGCAGAACATGGAGATGGACAGGTTTCAGAACGTATCGTACAGTTCCATTCTAAATTCACTTTCAAAACCTTAATCAGTTTACGCTCATTCAGAAATATTTCTTTCATTTATAATTTTCTTTTATGCGCTTGAAAACAATATACTATTTTGAATTTGCCTTTTTTGATTCTAGAGGATATTTCCATTAGGTGTTAGCTGTTCAGAATTAGGTAACTTCCTCTCCAAATCTAAAAGCTTGAAGATTAAAGTGTACAAAACTACAGTTTCACCTGTTGCTTTATGTGTATGTAAAATACATTCTTACCTTGAGAGGCCATTTTACATCATAGTGCTGAGGGGAATTTTATGACCTAAGGAAAAAGAAGGAACCAGAGGATAGAGAAAACTACATAATGAGGAGCTTAATAATTTGTACTGTCTGCCAGATATTATTACTTATTTACTTACTTACTTACTTACTCACGGAGCTGAGCCCTTCTGGAGGAGCCAGCAATTCTGCAGCTACTCAATTTCCCAGCATTTTATGGAAGCCGAAGGTTCATTACCATATTCACAAGAGCCATCCACTAGTCCCTATCCTGAGCCAGATCTAACCAATCCATACCATACCATCCTGTCTCTCTAAGATCCATTCTAATATTGTCCACCTTGGTCTTCCCTGTGGTCTCTTTCCTTCTGGTTTTCCCACCAATATCCTATACGCATTCCTCATCTCCCCCATTCGTGCTAAATGCCCTGCCCACCTCACCATCCTTGACTTGATCTTTCTAATTGTACTTGGAGAAGAGTACAAGTTATGAAGCTCCTCATTATGCAGTTTTCTCCAACCTCCTGTCACTTCATCTATCTTCGGTCTAAATATTCTCCTCAACACCCTGTTCTCAAACACCCTCAGTCTATGTTCCTCCCTTAATGTGAGTGACCAAGTTTCACACCCATACAGAACCACAGGCAAAATTATAGTTTTGTATATTCTAATTTTCATGTTTTTGGACGACAGACGAGAAGACAAAAGGTTCTGGACTGAAGGGTAGCAAGCATTACCCGAGTTCAATTGCCTCTTAATTTCCTCCTGAATCAGGTTTCGATCTGTTATCGTTGTTCCCAAATATCTGAACTGTGCCACATTTTCAAAACATCTGTTTCCTTTTTGCCCTGCATTCTAGTG